ACTTTCCCTTCTTCTCTACAACAGTAGCGATCGCAATCGATACTCAAGGGTGGGTGTGGGTGTGGGGTGTGGGTGTGGGTGGGTGTGGGTGTGGGTGGGTGTGGGTGTGGGTGCGGGTGTGAGTGTGGGGGGTGTGGGTGTGGGTGTTCCCAGCTAACACCCACACCCACACTCACCCATACCCACACACACTCCCACCCGCATCCACACCCACACCCACACCCACACCCATACATCCACACCCACATCCACACCCCACACCCACCCACATCCACCCACACCCATAGATCGATACAACTTGTCGAAGTTTATGAATATAAGGTACTATTTCTCGTCCTAAGCGACCACTAACAATAAGTACTAATCGATCTTTTTGTGATCTTTGTTCAATATATTGTTGACACTGTTGTACATCTTGAAATCTCCTGAGATGATTGATAATAGAACGCAATTGTTGTTCTGTACCTTCAGTCTCCTTAACATCGACATTTGCATCGAGCCAAATAAGAGAGAATAGGGTGTGGGTGTTGGAGTCTTCGTTTCATCCACACGCCCACGCACACTCACACCCACACCTTTTAAGAACAACCATAAAGCTAACGAATCCAACGAATTCAAGGATTTCATACCACTTGGGAGACTCAAGAATGGTCGAAAACTTAAGCAACTCAAGGAATTCAAAGATTCCATAGCACTTGGAACAGTCACGAATGGTCGGGCAGCTCAAGAATCTAATAATTCCTAGCATTTTATATCCTTAAGATTGTCGAGAATGGTTGGAAAGCTAAGGAATCCAAGGATTCCTTGCCAGTTGGCCCAGTTTAGAATGGCCGGGAACGAAGGACTCGAAGAAGTTCAATGATTTCCCGACACTTGGGACAGTTAAGAACGGTCCTGAAATCCAAGGATTTCAAGCATTGCCTAGCGCTTTGAACAGTCAGAAGTTGCCGGAAACCATAGGAAAACCAGGACTCCAATGACTCCTTAGCACTTTAATCGGTCAGGATTGGTGGTAAAGTGAAGAAATCCAAGGATTTAAAAGATTTCATCGCATTTTGTTCAATCCAAATTAGTGCAAAAACCAAGGATTTCCCGGGAACAATTGTTTTTGCAAGTATTGGCGTATTGCAGAGATCATCAGAAACCTGAAAAACCAAGTTTCTTAATCAATTTGATTGATTGTTAATGAATAGAATATGTCGAAATTTTTCAAGGTTTCCAAGGTTTCGGACTCCTTGCAATGAAATGGCATGAGATCATACTAGGTTTGCTCAGATATTTCACTTATGACGTAAGTGGATATTACTAAAATTTTTAATGTAACTAAGGATTCTTTGACGTTTTCGATGGTGGAAACTGTTTCCCGAGTGGCTGTGTTCAACGGTTGGAAGATGTCTCATGCATTTCGGAAGTGGTAGTATCAATGCAAAAACCAAGGATTTCTAGAGAACCATTAGGTTCGTAGCAGTTGAACAGTGTCACGCAATCTCAGGAACATTTATATACGAAGTTCCTTAATAACTTCGGTTCATTTTTAATAAATAGGATATGTCGAAATTTTTCAAGGTTTCCGATTCCTTGTGATGAAAGGACATGGGGTTATACTAGGTTTGATCAGATATTTTGTTTATCCGTACAGTACATTTTATTATAATTTTTCAAGCCTTTCAAGAATTCTGACGGCGCTTGTCGATGTGGATCAGAGATGAGCACAGGACAAGATTTTTCGTCCTGTCCTGCCCTGCCCTGTTAGCCAGCTCTGTCCTGGCGGGCGGCAGTACAGGACAGAAATCAAAATCGCGTCCTGTCCTGTTTTGTCCTGTTGACAATCTCTGTCCTGGCGGGCGGCAGGACAGGACAAAAATCAAAACCGCGTCCTGTCCTGTTTTTGTCCTGTCCTGCTTTGTCCTGCTGACTTTTTCCGTTCCACCCACTGATAGGAGAATAATGAAAACTTTTTCCTAGTGTTTTTTGCTAATTCATTTTATTTTTTTCGAGAGACAGAGAGTCAATCACGATTTCCTAATCTGTCTATCGTTGATCAGGACTGTGCTGATAAGGAATAAGGAGGGCCCACGCCCTCAAATTTTGAAAAGTACTGCTTTGCTATAGTGAAACTGTGCTAGAACGTTTGTTTTGAAATCTTAATGTAAGAACTTTATCCTGAGGAAGAGTGCAGGGGTGTATACTTAGGATACCCGTACCATTTTTTATTTGGGCACGTCCCTGTCGTTTATCAAAGCAAATATTGATATCATTCATATTATACCTAATGTATTCTTTACTATTCTCAAATACTGGAAATACATTATATATCATCACTTATTTGATAAGTAGAATAAAATATAGTAAAATATTAATTTTTTATCTTGCTGACACATTCATGACAAGAAAAAAAATAGAAAACAATGACCATGATTCGTTGTAATATAATTATTTTATTTTATACTAGATACTGTCTATGAAAAGTAGCAACAGCATAGACTATTATCACAAAAAACAGCTATTTTCATGAATGAATGAACGTATACTATAAAGATTAAAAAAAAAATAATATATCCTATCATTCTTTGAAATACGCTATATTTAGTTAGTTTTCCTGAATAACCAAAGAATTTTGAAAAATTTATTAATGCTGTTGAGAATTCTTTTTTGTAATATTATATTTCTGTTTCGTATTTAGGTAATTGTTCAATTTTGAGAAATATAATATGTTCGACGATGATGAAACTTTACTAAACCCCATGCTGAATATTTATTTTGAGAGTCAGTAAATAGAAACAAATGAAATACAAAGTAAAATAAAAAACGTTCAAGACGAAAAGAACAAAGAACATTTGTTTGGTGTTGCTTTCTCTTCATATTCTAACGTAAAATTTCTGAATCATCAATGACTACATCTAATTGGCGCTTTTTTTTCAACCAATATTTTAATTAGTGTTATGATTCATCCTCATAGCGATACCTATCAATCACCACATACGTCGACTGTTAAAAAGTGACCGGTCGAAAGTGATAGTTGTTTAACAAATATAAATAACAAAAGAACGAGAAAATTCACACGAGAAATTTTTCTGTCCTGTTCCGTCCTGTTGTAATCGTTATCTTTGTCCTGGCGGGCGGCAGGACAGGACAAAAATCAAAATCACGTCCTGTCCTGTTTTGTCCTGTTGGCAATCTCTGTCCTGGCGGGCGGCAGGACAGGACAAAAATCAAAATCGCGTCCTGTCCTGCAGGACAGGACAGGGCAGGACACCAGGACGCCAGGACCGTCCTGTCCTGTGCTCATCTCTGATGTGGATGTGAGTGTTTGTCTTTTCTTCACCTAAACCTCACATTCACATGCACATCCACACCGATACTCATTCCACATCCACATACATCTGCCCACTACATCTTCTTTCTCTATTCATCTTTCGAACTGAGAAACATTTCAATAGTTAAACAATGATTCTATCTAAATATAGGAACATTACAATCAAGTGAGTAATAGAATAAGATAAAGTACGAGAGAAAAGACTAACAAGTCTGTAAGAGAATATTTAAACTGTCAGTTCCATTATTAGCAACGGCAATATCTAGTTTCCTGTCATTGTTGAAGTCTCCAACGACAATGGAAAATGGATTGGATCCATAGTCCAACGGAAATAGGATGATACTTGCAAATGTGCCGCTACCATATCCAAGAAATACACCTAGATTGTTGTTGTCATAAATCGCGACGACAATGTCTAGTATAGTATCGTTGTTAAGATCACCAACAGCTAGAGAGTATCGAGTGGAAATTAAACCTGTTGAATACGACATCACATTTCCAAATGAGCCATTGCCATATCCAAGAAAAACACCAACAGTGTCCGAGTTACAACTATTAAAAACGATATCTACTTGAGTATCATTGTTGAAATCACCAACAGCCATAGTGCATGGATATAAATATGGGCGAGTTGAATATGTCAGTTGATTTGTAAAAGATATATTGCCATATGAAAGAAAAATACCAATATTGTGGGTAAGTGAATTGACGACGCCGATATCCATTAGACCATCATTGTTAAAATCGCTAATCACTAATGACTGAGGTCGGGAACCATTTCCAGTCACGAGCATCATTTGCTTTACAAAAACTATATAGTCATAGCCAAGAAGGACACTCACATCATTGCTAAAATAATTGGCGACAACAATATCTAGTCGAGTGTCATTGTTGAAATCACCAATAGCTACAGATGTTGGATAAGTGCCAACTAAATATCTTGTTTCTTTTGCAAAAGAACCATTTTCATACCCAAGAAGGACACTCACATCATTGCTAAAATAATTGGCAACAACGATATCTAGTCGAGTGTCATTGTTGAAATCACCAATAGCTACAGATTGTGGAAAAGAGCCAACTAAATATCTTATTTCTTTTGCAAAAGAACCATTCCCATATCCAAGAAGGACACTCAAATCACTGCTATCCCCATTGGCGACAACGATATCTAGTTGAGTGTCATTGTTGAAATCACTAACAGCTACAGATTGTGGATTAGAGCCAACTGAACAGTTTGTTGCAGTTGCAAAAGAACCATTCCCATATCCAAGAAGGACACTCACTTCATTGCTACCCGGCTTGGCGACAACGATATCCGGTCGAGTATCATTGTTGAAATCACCAATAGCTACAGATGATGGAGAAGAACCAACTGAATATCTTGTTTCTTTTGCAAAAGAACCATTTTCATATCCAAGAAGGACGCTCACATCATTGCTATCCGAATTGGCAACAACGATATCTAGTCGAGTGTCGTTATTAAAATCACCAATAGCTACAGATGATGGAGAAGAACCAACTGAATATCTTGTTTCTTTTGCAAAAGAACCATTTACATATCCAAGAAGGACACTCACATCATTGCTACGCCAATTGGCAACAACGATATCTAGTCGACTGTCGTTATTAAAATCACCAATAGCTACAGATAATGGAGAAGAACCAACTGAATATCTTGTTTCTTTTGCAAAAGAACTATTTTCATATCCAAGAAGGACACTCACATCATTGCTATAATAATTGGCAACAACGATATCTAGTCGAGTGTCATTGTTGAAATCACCAATAGCTATAGAATATGGAAAAGAGCCAACTGAATATCGTATTTGTTTTATAAAAGAATCACGATTGTATGCAACAAAGATATCCACGTTGTCCCTTCCATTGTAAGCGATAACGATTTCTGATCGTTTGTCATTATTAAAATCATCAGAAGCCATAGCTAACGGACGTGAATCAAAACTAATTCCTTCACTTGTTTGACTTTGAAATGTTCTGTTCTCATATCCTCGCATCATAACTACTTGCTTTGTACCATAATTAGCCACAGCGATATCTACTACACTATCGCCATTGAAATCGCCAATAGCAATCGAAGTCGGATGAGAATTTGAGCCAGTGTTAAGCATCATTTTATTTTCGAAATTGCCATTTCCATATCCAAAAAGGATGCCTACATTATTAGTGCCGTAATTAGCCAAGACGATATCCATATTAGTGTCGTTATTCAAATCACCAATCACTACACATTCTAGGCTAGATCCACCGCCAGATGCGTAGGCCATTTTATATGCTATCGCTCCATATTGTAGCAGGACACTCACATCACTGCTACCCGGATTGGCGACAATGATATCTAGTCGAGTGTCATTGTTGAAATCACCAACAGCTACAGATCGTGGATTAGAGCCAACTGAATAGTTTGTTGCAGTTGCAAAAGAACCATTTCCATATCCAAGAAGGACACTCACATCATTGCTTAACCAATTGGCGACAACGATGTCTAGTTGAGTGTCATTGTTGAAATCACCAACAGCTACAGATATTGGATAAGAGCCAACTAAATATCTTGTTTGTTCTGCAAAAGAGCCATTTCCATATCCAAGAAGGACACTCACATCCTTGGTACCCGAATTGGTAACAACGATATCTAGTCGAGTGTCATTGTTGAAATCACCAACGGCTACAGATTGTGGAGTAAAGCCAACCAAATATCTTGTTTTTTCTTCAAAAGAACCATTCCCATATCCAAGAAGGACACTCACATCATTGCTTTCATAATTGGCGCCAACGATATCTAGTCGAGTGTCATTGTTGAAATCACCAATAGCTATAGAATATGGAAAAGAGCCAACTGAATATCTTGTTTGTTCTGAAAAAGAACCATTCCCATATCCAAGAAGGACACTCACACCATAGCTACCCGCATTGGTGACAACGATATCTAGTCGAGTGTCATTGTTGAAATCACCAACAGCTACAGATGTTGGATAAGAGTCAACTAAATATCTTGTTTCTTTTGCAAAAGAACCATTTCCATATCCAAGAAGGACACTCACATCCTTGGTACCCGAATTGGCAACAACAATATCTAGTCGAGTGTCATTGTTGAAATCACCAACAGCTACAGATTGTGGATTAGAGCCAACTGAATAGTTTGTTGCAGTTGCAAAAGAACCATTCCCATATCCAAGAAGGACACTCACATCATTGCTACCCGGATTGGCGACAACGATATCTAGTCGAGTGTCATTGTTGAAATCACTAACAGCTACAAAATATGGATAAGAGCCAAGTGGATATCTTATTTGATTTAAAAAACCCCCGTAATCACCAAGGAGAATATCTATGCTACCAGTGTCATTGTTTACGACGACAATGTCTAATCGATGGTCCTTGTTGAGATCGCCTATTGCGACTGAAATCGAAGAATAAGATCCAGTTGAATAAGGAACTGGATCGTTAAATTTGCCATTTCCATAACCAAGAAGTATACCTATATTCTCATTACCGTTGTTAGTTATGATAATGTCTAATCGATTATCTTCATTGAAATCTCCAATGCCAATTGCATATGGAGAAGCGGAACCGATGGAATAGTTGGCTTGATTAGCGAAAGTTCTATTGCCATTGTTCAGAAGTACACCGACTTCATGAGTTCCAGAGTTAGCGATAGCTATATCGACGAATCCATCGTCATTGAAATAGCCGACCGCAATTGAGTATGGATGAGAACCAACGCCAGTTGAAAACATAATTTGTTTTTCAAAAGTTCTATTACTATTTCCAAGAAGTATGCCAACATTGTTCGTGCCATAATTAGCGATGGCGAGATCTACATAGTTGTCGTTATTGAAATCTCCAGCAGCTAATGAAGATGGAAGAGAATCATAACCTGTTGAATAAGTAATTGTAGGAGAAAAATTTCCATTGTGAGTTCCATAGAGTATGCTAACACTGTGAGTTCCATAATTGGCGGTAGCGATATCAAGTAGTGAGTCATTGTTGAAATCAAAGGCAATAATTGCTATCGGGCGAGATGAGCCTGTTGAAAACTCTATTTGATTTGAGAAAGATCCATTCCCAAATCCATGAAAGATGCCGATATTGTTAGTGCCGAAATTCGCTACTGCAATATCCAATCGGTTGTCATTGTTGAAATCACCGACTGTAACCATGTAAGGACTAGAGTAGGAACCTGTTGGATACATGGTTGGATTTCTAAAACTGCTATCACCATTTCCAAAATACACCGTTATTTTGTTGGCTATATAATTGGCAATAACCATATCCAAAACCGTATCATTGTCGAAATCACCGATGGTGACAGATCGTGGACCATATTTATATTCAACTGGCTTTTGAGCCGTTGGTTTGAAACTGAGGCCACACATTGGAACTAAGCGATACATCAAAGGCAATGTAATGATTGATTGTTTGCTGCAGTGAAACTATCTGTCCTAGATTATTTCGAATTATCAAGATTCCTATAATATGCTATCAGAAATTATTATATGGCTCTATTTAGAGATAGTTCAACATCATCATCCTACAAAAGAAGTCTGCTTAGTTTCTTGGAATTCAGATAGAGCTAAATATGTGAATTCAAACAATCATACAAGGAATAACGACCTACAATAGTGAGTGTATGTGTCAGTAATTCCGTGATACGGACAACGAATGTTCACAGATAGTTTTTGAGTGACAAATGTGTAACTATTTATCTCTGCTCTTTTCCGTAGAGTGAGCAATACATGACTTATATCGATCTATTCAATCATAAATAGTGATAAATATTCTTCTCAGTTTTTAGTTGCAAATCTTCTATTACATCTAATTTAACTTACAGGATAATTTGTCTGATATCAGGTTTAATAATACTCTTAAGATGTCGTGGAGACTACTTATTTTTATTATCGAAATATGTTGATGATGATAAAACAGAAATGTATTTACTATCTGTTCACCTTGTGAAGATAGTCGACTACTAACAAGCTATTAGTTAGACAGAAGTATTACTTTATGACGTATATACAAAATCTTACTGCTTCGAAGAATGGTACCAAAAATAATTCACTAGAATGTAATAATGAAATGAGAACTCACTAGAGAATACAACATAGAACACACATGAGCCATACAAAAAGGCAGAAAAAGAAAACGATTGTATCGGAACATACTAGCAGAACGAAAGAAGATATAGATGGGATACAAATACTGCCTACTCTCCTCTACAGGCAACATAAAGTGAGAAAATGTAAAGAAGATATGCACTATGAAGAAGAAATATTTACTGTCATCATGTTCTATGAGAATATCACTTGTATTTTTTCTTATTCTTTCACATTGCTTTTATATCCAACAACATATCGATAAGATATAGAAACAGAAATTCAGGATAAACTGCTGTTTTTCATTCAGAGAGGTGAAAGAGTACCACCAAAAACAATAGAAGAAGTGACTCAAAAACATTGAATAAGATAAAGTTGATCTTTCTGCAACAAGTAACAATACGTAGCATCAGTTTATAAAAAATCAGATCGTGAAATTGTTGTTTTACTGAGACATGAAAAAAAATTTATAGAAAACTCAATAATCTCCGTTTTAGAGAAACTTATTATTCTTGTTCCTCTAGAACAAAGCGGCAATGTCATGATTCTTTTTGGAATTCTTTCTTAATCTATAAACCCTACCAATAAGTTAAATGAAAGGGTCCGACTTATAGATAAAGTATCAGATCTACTGACGATAATCATCTTGGTTGGTTCGCATTTATTAATGCTAATTTATATTGAAAAAGTGAAGCAGTTGTAATGCTTATAATTCTATCCTCGCTTGATGATTTGCTTCGAACATGTCGATATCAAATATTTTATTACAATTTGAGTTTTTTTAATCAAAACTCTCCATGCTGGTAAAATAGAAGTAAATTAACTGTGGATTTTTATCGTATTGAATATGAAGAATGTAAAACAATAAGGATATACCTGGTTGTTTTAGTGCAGTTAAACAAACTACCAGTATACCGATGATCGTAACTATACTTGTAATCATAGGCAATACAAAGACAGGTTTGGATATAAAATCCAACATTAACCACCAAAACATTTTTCTGAAAAAAAGCAACAACGATGACATTTGACAGCAAAAGAAAAAGTCATACATATTCTGCCGAATCGTGTAATTTTTTATTCGAGCGATGGTATTGTTTTGAACGTTACTTGCAATTTGCCCGTTTGAAATTGATCTCGGCTCCTCGTTTGCATCGACGACAACACTGTTCTTACGGAGCGAGTAACTGACCGATTTAACGTTATTATCCATAGAGGCCATTTCAATCTACGATGAGACAATACTAGGTGGGAAATAATATTTTGATAGGGGGGTACCGCTATAATTTCATATAGAGTAAATAATGAATTTTATACCAAATGAAAGTCCGTCAAAAATGGAGTTTATTGATACTAACAATGGAGGTGTCTGTGTTGTCAGATGAAAAAGTGGCACATGTTCGGGTCAAATGAAAGCTCTTACTGAGAAACTAAGAGGGTTAAAATATTAGCTGTCCGTGGCTTGCCTAGAGGGAGATATTTAACTTTTAAATCTAGGTATAAAAATGAATTAGGAAAGATTTTCTCCACTATTATAAGGACA